CAGTACTGCATAAAGAGCCACACCGAGTTTGGTAAATTAACTAACTGCGACCGAAGAGTCAGGCAACGAGCAGCAGAACAAAATAAACGTCAAGCCTGTTTATTAGCACTGATTTCTTCCACAGCAGAGCCTGAGTTACGGCCCCAGATGAAAGCGGTAGGATAATTTCCAATGAAAGTTGTTACAAAACAAGCTACATTTGCACTCTGTACCTGGAGCTTCTTCTTCTAACGATCTGACCTAGTCAACAAGGGCCCTCACCTGGTGTCACATCACAGCTGTGAATGCCTCCTGCTTGTGGAGTAACTTTGAATTGAGATAACAGTCAACAAAATGCTGGTCTTCATCAGCTGGTGGCTCTTCAGAGCTGGCACCTGAGATAGTGAAAAGGGTATCTTTTTTGGCACCTTTTTCTCTCAAGTGGACGCAGCGTATCAAATATTGAAATACTGTTCTCAAGACTATTTAAGTCAGGCTCTCTGTAAGGCTTTACAGCTTCACTTTCTGAGGTCATCTTAACATAAACTACACCAGCAGTGAAGGCTGCCAAGGACGGAAAAGGGTTGGGGAGCACCAGCTATTTCACTATGGGCAGGTCATTTTATAGTAGTTGACTATGCAATTCCTTTGAAGCTTTTTTTTTTTTTTTTGCAAATTCCACTGCTGAGGCAAGGTGACAGGTGTGTTATGGTTACAAGTTTGCCCAGTTTTACCAGATAGCAGGAGCTTTACAATGTGGAGGCATCAAATCTCACAGCTCCGAGAGAAGGTGGTAAGACAAGGTGGGTAAGAAAAGGTGGGAAGCACTCTTAAGTGACTAAGTTAGAAACTCACATCACTTCATACTCTTTCAAGGATGAAACAAATTCCAAGCTAGAACATCCAAGCCCTCCGCAGCCAAGCTCATGGAGAACGCCCTGCACAGTAACACTTTTTAAGCCTCACTTAATTACAGATTACTGTACCTGGAAGCGGGAATACATATCTTAAATTAATCGTTTCAGCTGGGATTAGGGGAAAAAAAAAAGGGGGGGGGGGGGGAGGCTTTGTTATACATTTAATAGTCTCCATAGGTGAAAACAGGCAACACTGGTGTCACCTCAGGAGAATAAGAAAAGTTTCTAACCACCAGGTCTTCCCAGCCATTGCAAAGCCATGATACTCCCTCTGCAAAACTCTTTTATTTGGCAAGTTAGAGCAGCAGAAATAGAATTTAAAGAATAACAAAGGAAACCTCATTAAAACAAGTGAAAGAGTGACAAAGGACAACTGCAACGTGAGGAAAATAGGAAACTGAAGCTTGCTGCCACCAATGGAGCGCTCAAAGGAACAGACCTAGACCAAACTCTGCAAAAGGGGGTATGAATGTTTGCTATCACCTGGACTCTGTTTCATGCACTGCAGCAACTCTGTGTCAACTGCTTAGGTCTTGCTAACATTGACGTGGGTGACATCACCACTCTTCTCTCATACACAAATGAGGTCATTTAGCAAAGGTGACAGTCAGGCCTGATCTGCCCTGAGCTAATGGTTCCTGATCACCTTCTTCCCCATGTGCCAAGATTAAAAGCAGCAAAATCTTTCTTCTGAAAAAGTTACTTGAAAGCCTAGGCCCCAGTGAGACACTGGTTACAAACTGCTTTTTAATTCCAGGCCTTGAAGACCTTCTTAAGGCACATACTTCTGTGCTGAATTCATCAGCCAGAATCCACCACGCAAATCACATGCTTTCTGAATTAGAAAGGATGAATTTTAAATACATGTGTATATACTATAAAAATGCACTGAGTATTGAAAAATGCAGCTAGCAAAAAGCTAGCAAAAAGCAACAAATGCACTAGTTGTGCCCACTGCTGCACAGGGATCTCAGCATGCAGAGCTGCACCCGAACTCTTTCAGCATTCTCTGTATTCCCTGCAAGCCTTTCCAGGAGACCTTTCAACAACAAATACTTTCCACTGGAGGGAAAGGACTGTTTTGAATGTTAAGTCGATCTCAAGTTCCCATCCAAGTATTTAAACTTTAAATCTATGCCTTGACAGCACAGTAAAGTATTTCCATTCCCATGCATTTGAAGTACAATACCAAGAAACTGCATCTGTAAGAAAAACAGGACCTGAAAATTGCTTAATCTTTGACAGAGGATATTTCTGCAAAAAAAAAAAAAAATCTTTTGGCTTTTTTTTTTCATAGTGCTTTTGGAGTTCATTATTCACTGAAAAAAAAAAAAGTCATAATGTTAATTCAGGCTTTTGCACACTGCTCAGCTTGGGAGTAAGGTTTTTTCCTAACCCTATACGATCATTTTCCTTTGACTGTTCAAGGTCATGACATGAGGTGTAGAGCAGTACTACTACCAGAATTCTTCCAGTCTTAATTCCAGGTGTTCAGCAACCCCTTTCCTCACTTTCCTACTCTTAAGATTTCTTTTTTTCCCATATGGTAAATTTGTTAAGTTTTTCAAAAGAAACAAAACTGAAAAACACTAACTAGGACTGCAGTAGGTTGCCTTCTGTACTTCAGTAGAGGAGTTCTCTTCCAAAAGCACCCTTTGAGCATGTGACAAACTCACACTGAGCTCCCAACAAGGAGCAGCACATTTCTTCAACAGCAGGGTTGCTGTGTGGGGACTACAGCAGAAGGCAGAAGGCCTTTGCTTGTATCCAAGGTTATAAATTAAAGTGTTTCTGAGCAGGGAAACCTTATAGCTGCTGAAGTCTCCTATCCCCTTTCTCCAAGACCAGCTCCTTGTCCCCATCCCTTTTTGGTGTAGTATAGCAAGATTCAGCACCACATTAAAAAAAAAAAAAAAAAAACATACATCTACATTGTGCTTCAGCAAACATCTGGTAGACTAAAAGTAGATTATTTCCATTAGATAGAAGGAAAAATAAAATAACGTTGGGAAAAGGAACACTACAAATAGCCAAGGAAAAATGGGGTAGAAAAGAGATGGGAAGCAGTAATATGCAAGAATTCAAGAATTCTCTTTGTCTTTCCTCTTCTATTTTTGTTGGCACTGTAGATTTTACATTACTGCTCCAAGGCAGATCAAAAGGATAGAATAGGACATGGGATCAGGGGAACAGAATAATAGTACAGAAATTTGAATAATTTTAACGTAAGGAAGAAGTTAACTTTATAACAAGCCCTGCACTCACAGTGGCTAATGGATGCTGAAGAGTATCTAAATAGTATTCAGGACCACAGAGATCTGGAGTAAGAAAGTCAGCATGGAATGCTACTTAAATAAGCTGCTGAGACTATGTTTACATATCTTATTGAGAGTAAATTCTTTATGGGACATAAGTCACATGCTGACAATAAAATCCAACCCAGCAGATTGCTTATACCCCGTTGCTCTAGGAACACGTGAGCCTGTAGCAGAGAAGTGGAAACACGTTTGACTTATGAGAATTATTTTAGTGGCAATAAGCGCTGTGACAGGCTCCTTCTGAGACACTTCTCAGTGCAGCTATACCACCCTTCAAGTGCCAAAAAAGTCACACGAAGGAGCATTAAAACAAAGTGTCAGCGACTCGCATACATATTTTCCTCACATATATATTTTCACATATATATTTGAATGACATCTGTATGTTGTGCAAAGATATCAAGGCATTTGTCTACTCAAGTTGGGTATGTTTTTACAGAAGGAATCCCTGCCTACTCTCCAAGCATGCTGTGGATGGTACCAAGAGGGTAAAGCAGAATAAAACTTAAGGATTAAAGCAACAGGCCCTGTTATATGCCCCCACCCCCACTTCATAACCTTGGTGCTCTTTGAACACATGAAAGGTCAGGTGTTCTACGGACTGTAGAAACTACTTTTATGCCCTAAAGTACCCTTTTTGATAATTTTATTCAGTATGTGGAGGGTAAAATAAAAAACAAATCCCAAAACCGCAATTTCCGTAACTCTGTAACTCAGCTTCTGAAAAACTGGGATTAAGTGGCAACTCCAACACTGAACGTTAATGTGAGAAAGCATCTTTATTAGTCTATTCAATGTGCCATTTATTATTAAACCAGTGATAGCAAGGAACTTCACCAAGAAAGTGGAGAAGTACATCATCTGTTTAAAAAAAAAACCAAAAAACAAAAAACAAAACACACAAATAGGCAGAGTTTTGCCTGTATTCAGTTGCCATGCAACTTCATAAATAAATTAAAAAAAAATCTATTTTAGGGTCTATAACATTTCCATAGAAATATGTTGTAATATCTAGAGTTGGAAAATTAATTAAAAAAAATTGAATTCCATCCAAAAACTAATAAGCCTTACAAGATTAGTCTACTGAAACCAAGAAAATTCACCCAAAACACCACACCTCTCCTACCTTATTATAGAAGCTAGCCAGCAAAGTAGATAAAAATGTTTGCAGATACTTAAGAGCTGCCAGGTTAAGGCTTCAACTCCCAGAGGAGTTGTGAGTTCGTTAGAAACAACTTATTTTTAATCTGCAGAAGTTGGCAGCTATCCTCATCTGTGAGGAAAGGAGTTCACAGTACAAGAAAGAACAGCTGCAACGAGAATAGGCATTAAAACCAAGTCCAGGAATTGATCCAAATTTTATTGTGATTTTTTGTTACTATTTTAGAACTGTTTTTACTGAGAATGATTTACCAAGGCAGGACCAAAGCATGACTGAGCTTCTCCCAAGACTTGCCTTCCACTGGTAGCCTGAAGGCCACTGAATTTGCAAGTTAACACAGCCTTATCCCTCCGTAGTTGTCTAAGGAACTAGGCTTGTGCAGTGCTTAAGGAAGAGCCTTCATGCTACCAGCATTGGACTAGGTAGCCAGGTGAATCCCACCTTCCTAGGGATACCCACATTTATTTGTCAGACCTGTGATCATCCAAGAGGAAGGCCCTAGTACTTCAAGTGGTCTTAGAGTCACTGCAATACCTGACAATATAAAACGAGTCAGTCTACAGGTCTTTTGGCCAAATATTCTACTTCACTTATGTCATAAGAAGGGAGACCAATTTAATTGCATTTTTTAGTTTTTTTTTTTTATTTTTTTCCCCCTCCTCTGCATTTAAGATTTACAGTGGTTTCTTAAAGAGCATTCATACATGTGTACCTCTACCAGGTAGCAAACAAGATTGTTTCAGTCGTACATACAAAATTACTTATGTTTACAAATTTTTGGCAATCATAGTAACCCGTTTTTTCCTATTGCCATTGCCCCAACCATTGAAAAAAAACAGTTTACAATAATTTACATTTGAAATATTTCAAAGTGCTTAATAGTGATTCTCTAGGAATATTTACAAGTGACTTATACACATATGTACAGGTGTATATAGCACAAGTTGTGGCTGGAATATGGCTTTCTATGGAAAGTGCTTTATATTTGGCCAGTGGTGTTACTGACTGACCAATTCAAGGGTTACTGATAAAACCGTAACCACTAAAAGCTGAATTGTTGTGGACAGGTATTTACAAGGTTTGTTGCTAAGCTGTATAAAATAGGTATTTACATAAGTGTTCCATACATACAGAAAGTATCTTCATTCTTCCAAGAATGGAGGAAGTCTCAGCCACAAGCCTGGTTATTATCCCCAAAAGTGTAAAATGTAAGTAAACATGAAGTGATTGCCGATCCAAAGCTCACGCCATATCGTCATCCGTGCTCACAACAGATATCTGTTTACAACAGAAAACAGTTAGCCAAACCTTGCACTAGTGATGAGTACCACACTAGGCATAGCCTCACTACAGGGTAGTCTGAAATAGGAGCTTTTTCTGCGGGGTACAGCTATGGGTAACTCCATGCAAGGCACAGGGATAGACACCTCCTAAAACATCAGCCTTTGGCCAAAAGGATGAACTCTCACTCTACTCAGCCTAGTAATTCAGGGGCAGTTAGTTGGCCTCTGCTCTGGACAGCAGAGACTTGCCCAAATTAGAGTCATTGTTTCATCAGTCTTTGCTGCTCCTAGTCCAAAGATTAGTCAAAAGCCTCAGACAAGTCAAAAGGTTTACTTACTGCAGGGTAGGTATGGCCAACTGAACAGCTGTGTCTTCCCATATCGATTGTGAGGTCCTCTTCGGTTGTTTTCAGATAGACAGGATTATCAAAATTCATGCTTTTCATGTTTTTGTGTTGCCAGTTACGCCACATGAAGTAGCCAGCCACTGCAGCCATCACCAGCAATACTTTGGGGAAAGAAGAAGACCGTAAGCACTGGGCAGCATCAGGCCAGACTCCGCACCAAGCGGAGGCTCATCTCACAACAGGGACACCCAAAAGCTCCCGAAGGCTGTACTCACAGACGGGAAGAACAGCCCAAGCAGCCGACGTCCCTCTGGCAGCAGCTACTTCAGACACGGTGCCGCTGATGTTGAGTCCTGCGCGAGAATTCATGAAACCGTGAGGCTGCTTACCGACAGACCAGCACACTGAGCAGCTTCTAGACTGAGCCGAGCGCCTGCTTCGGACTATCATATTAATGCAATAACGCATTGCTAGAACAGCCTAGCAGGTTTCATCTTATCTTAGGAGAAACTGTTTTTTTTATTATTATTATTATTGCTCATCTCCTGAGCACTCCTGGGACATCACGGACACTATGGGGTTCCACTCTGCCATAAAGTGAACCAGTTTAATCATGGTAGGCTCCAGCTGTTGCATGTGGACTGTATCCATGACCTGTACTCCCTATATGCACGCAGAGGAGGAAAACTCCAAGCAGGCTATTGGGTCAGTTTGAATTTTGTTTCTGCCATGTTTAACAGTGTGAGTTATTTGGACCAGTACCTCCAGGAACTAGTCCAACAGTTGGAGATTTTTCTGCTGTGCTGGTATCTTTAGCCTCAGTGTAAGTCACAGTTGTTCCAGTACCTGAAACTAATTATAGATCAAGAACCCAGTTAATCCTGAAGTTCTGAGATGGCTCCGCTATAACATCCATGGTGGCGAATGTTTAGCAGATGGCACAATGATCATGCAGGTTGTTAGCTTAATTGGTAACACCGATGTTAGTTATTTCACTACTAAATCCACCCTCAGCTATAACTGATTTTTTGATGAAAAGCTTTTAAGAACCATCTTAAACAGTTAATAACCTACAGATGTTTAAAGCGCGAATCATTAAAACCATTAGCCACTCCATCCCTCACTTCAGGTTTTCTGTGTGAGGTTTAGTTGTTTGCTGGTCACCTTTGAGATATGCATATGTATATGTATCAGTCCTTTAGAGCAGCCACTACTCTCACCAACTAAGGGCAAAAGGTTTTCACATTGACTGTGGCAGTCAAGAGTCAATGTTCCAACACAACAAGTGGTCCATCGCTGTGTCTGGCTGCACTAGATGGCACAGGCAACCCTGATGTACAGTCAGGGCTCAGGAGAGCAGCAGCCTGTTTGCACCCGGAAAGCACTTCCTTGCTCAGCCTGTCAGTTCTCAGCACGGACAGCCAGTTTATACTTAGGCCACGTTTCCCTGATGTTTTGAGAAGGGGACTAGCTGTGTTTTTGCATACCATATTGCTCTCTGCAGAAAGCCATATAGCTGCAAGATATTACTGCAAGTGATGATGATGATGCAAAAGCCAAGCATGGACTTTGAATAGCACTGCAAACTGCATGCTTGAGTAATGCATGCTACAGGAGCATCCCTTCAAAGATTAATTACATTAGACTAACCCATGCAATATATATATTGTCTATACTGCCCTGCTGGCCTCTTACACGTTCAGTATCCTCACTCCATTCCTTGTCCAATCTTGAAAGCATTTCAGTCACATTACCTTACCTGCACATCTCAGACCATCCTCCTGCAAGAAGTATCCAGCAGGACATGCACAAGTATATTTTGGAGAGTGTTCATTTATCTGAGGAGCAGGCAGGCACAGGTAGCTGCAGCCTCCGTTTACCATATTGTCTTCACACCAGTTCTTGCCTGTGGGTACAAATTAGTTTTAAACAACTGACAGGAGTGAGCTTGCATGCTAAATATAGCACAACGTTTTGTTAATTGCTCTACTAGAATGATTTCTCTTGGCAAATTTTAGACTTCTACCTAGTTTATCTGAGGAAGATGCACTGCAGCTACCACTTCTCTCATTTCCAGGGAGGATCTCCCAGCACACCAGTAGAAAGCTAGCACACAGCATACAAGTAGAAAGCTATATAGACAAATAAGATAATTTTCCCATGCTTCTATCAGCTGGATCACCACCACCCAAATAGTACAGCCTTCACCTAAGCGTATGCTGACATAGTTATAAACAATATGAAGTTACCTGTGGGCTGAACAAGTTCATGATACACAATGATGTCCTGTGCATCATTGAGGTTGTTCACTAGAGTGATCAAATCAGCTCCAGTAAATTTGTTGGCACCATAAACTGCCTCATTCTCCCCATCAATCCAGTACACACGGTCCTAGAAGACAGAGTCATTGCATCTCATTATTTCTGGGTTAGTTTCAGTCAGCTATTGCAACACAGTTGTTAGTCACTTGTCAGCAAGAGCATGAGCTCAGACACAAGGAGCCCAGCAAGCTATTCTTACCTCAAATATTGTTACAGCCAGAGGATGGGGAAGAAACATATGCGACTTCAGCACAAGTCTACGGTCCTGGCCATTCAAGTCCACACTGGAGAGCATATGCAGCTTAGAATCCAGCCAGTACAGACGGCTTTTTACAAGATCTAGAAGAAGGGCATGGCAGAAAGGAAAAAAAAAAAAAAATCAACCAGTATCTATGTGGGGAAGATCTCCATAGACTGCTGCCACAGGAGAACACACAAGGAACTCACAAGTTCAAGAATTGCCACAGCCACCCTCATCTTTTATTATTGGGAATGCAGAAGGCCTGCTGCAGTGCTGCCTAAGTGGCCTTTGCCCCTTCCAGCAGACACAGTGGAAGGGTTACCACTTCCACATCTGGGAAGTAATGCTGCCTGTTGCAATGCCTTCAAACATGCTGGAACTTACTATTCTCAGCAGCTGCAAACAGTTCTATGAAAGGATGACCTTAGTTTTTTTGGTGAACAAATTGATAAAGGTCCAGAATAGCTCTGACGCCAGTTCAACATACCTAGAGCAATTCCATTAGGCCACTGGATTTCTGTTGTCACAAGCTGCTGTCTGTCAAATCCATTCATTCCCGCTTTCTCAATTTTTGCTGGCTCACCCCAGTCTGACCAGTACATAAAGCTGTAAAGTAGAATTTTTGTATGATGCACTAGAGTACTGTGTAGTATTTAAGGCTTAATTATAACCATTTAACAAGTAGCTAGATCAAGGATACCAAAATCAGTTATGAGGATACAGAAGCTTGCAGGTCTGATACTTTTAGAGAACCAGGACAAATACTCACCCAGAGAGAGGATCTACAGCTATGGAAGCCGGTTCTCTTAGCTCGGAGAAAATCAGAGCCTTCCTTTTCGTGCCATCTAGGCTAGCCACTGAAATGGTCTTTGTGGCTGAGTCAGTCCAGTAAATGTTCTTGTAAATCCAGTCCACAGCAATTCCAGCTGGGCTCTGTATGTTTTCGAGGATTTTGATATGTTTTCCAACTTTGTCACGGGTATCAACAGAGGCACTGGAAGACAAAAGTCACTTGTTTTTACCGCTCCCTCCACAGGTACTGCTGTTTGGTAATGCCTCAGCAAATACAACATACAGACACAACGTACAAAGCAAAGAGCTTTCAGCAGGTACTTCCTCACTCAGTTCTAGCAACTATTAACAGGAATTGTAATCAGCATTAAATATAGATATTGATTGGATTTTGCACCAGCTGTGCTTGGTGTTTCAGTGTAGAGTATTATGAATCTAGTTCTCAGCACCAAAGATGCAAGATGCGTAGGGGAAACTCTAGGGTTATAAGTAAGTTTTTAGTCTGTTTACCTGAAGATTGCTTTTTGGCTGAAGTCAGCCCAGTAGAGTTTGTGCTCAGCAATGTCAGCGTCTAGAGCTACAGTGTTTCTTAGCTGCTCTACTAGCTGAATGTATTCCTTCCTTTCAAGGCCAATCTTCCTGATATCCCGGCGGTTGGTGAAAATCAGACATGGCTCTTTC